ACCCAGTTCTCCACTGGGCAGAATTAATTTATTTACTTTCCCTTCTCACTTGTGGACCTCAGCTCTTGGCTCCTGTCTTCTTTGGTGCATGTGCCTCCTCTTGAGCAAAGCATGCTTTTATCCTCTAATCCTGTTCCAGCGCCCACCCAGGCAGGGATCCTCCCAAAGCATCTTTGTTCCCCAGGAGCAACATACAGTTCCAAAACTGTTCTCATCCAGGGGAAAAGATCTGAGAGCTCAATTTTGGCCTGAGGTTTAAGGTGCAGTTTACAATTTAAACTTATTCTTAAAGATGATTTTTAAAAATTAAATCTGTCTGTAATGTTTGGGATTGAGAACCTGGCAAAGGAGAAGTATAATACATTTTTACCCCAAAACATCCCACTTCTATGTAGAATTCTTACTACTATTTCATTAGAAAAAAAAAAAAATTGCTATTAGAATGCATTAAATAAAATGGCAAGATATAGACAAATAAATAGTGCTTTAGCACCCAACCTACCAATAATCTAAAAATGAAACCCCAGAAATGTATTTCACAGAATTGTAGAATTCTTAGACATAAACCTGATAAGATCTTTGAAGCTTTATGAGTGCTATGGCTTGAATGCCTGTGTTCCTCAAAAATTCATGTTGAAATCTAATCACCAAGGTGACGGTTAGAAAGTGGGGCCTCTGAGAGGTCATTTTACTAAGTGAAGTTTCCCAAGAGTTGAAAAATAAGCATCATATGTACTAACCATCAAATTGGTATTAACTGACTTAACTGATCAACACTTAAGTGCACATGTAGTAGTAACATTCACTGGGTGTCTGGCAGACGGGAGATTCACTGGGTGTCTGGCAGAAGGGAGGGTGTGGGTATATTCACACTTAATGGGTGCGGTGTACACCATCTAGGGGACGAGCATGCTTGAAGCTCTCACTCCGGTGGGGCAAAGGCAATATATGTAACCTAAACATTTGTACTCCCATAATATGCTAAAATTAAAAAAAAATTTTAAAAACCCAGAAAAAACAAAAACACAAAATGAAAAAAGCCACAGAGAGACCGCGTCTGTAAAAACAAAATTTTGCAGTATTTATAATAAAATTTTAATATTCATAAAACAGTATATGAAAAATTTATTGAACTAAAAAGGTAAAAATTACTGAATAAAATGCTTCTGATACAGAGGAATGATATTAATTTATACATAAAATGAAATTAAACCATGGAAATAATCAGAGAAACACAAATTAAGCAATAAGAATAAATGATTTGCCACTTTAGAATGATTTGCCACATTAGAATGTCGAAAGTTAAAAGCATGTAATAATATTATATATTTGTTCACTAGTAAGAAAATGGGCATTCTCACATATTGTTGATCAGTCTGTAAGTTAGAGGATATTTGGGGGGCACTCCCATCCATCAAAATTTTAAATCTACTGACTCTCACTATTAAGAATATTCAGTCACACTTGCAAGAAAATAGTCAACTAAAACTGGGCATTTGTGTACAAAGATACACATACAAGGATGTTTATTCTCATTTATAATACTGTAGAATAACTTATAATATTGTCAAATTTTAAACAACCTAGTATATGTTTAAATATATCAAGCTACATTTCTATATTGGAATTCTATGTAGCAATTACAAAAGATCAAGCTAGAAATATGAATGATTTTCATGAATGATACCTGGGGAAGAAAATGCATTTGGGGAAAGAGAAGTGAATTATAAACATTTATTGCTTAACACATTAACTGCCACATAAGTTGTACTTAACTCAGCCTAGTTTTGAGCCTCGTGAAGCATATGGAACCCCCACTTCTCTTTACCTTGGAAGCTGCTTGAACTATTTTTCAAGTTGCATATAACTCACACACAGAAAATAATAAAAAAAAACAAATTTTTCATTAAATTGGAAAGGATCCTTTTACTGTCAAAGTCTTTATTTTTCTAATAAAACACCATGGTCCCAAGGAAAAAATTTTTGTCTCTAGTGCGGCAGTCAATGTCTTAACCTTCAGAGTTGTTTCAAATTTTTATAATCACTAAGTATTTAAATGTATCTTTTGTGATGATTAAATCAATTAAAAGGATATAGCTCGTCAGAATGGTTTATGGGCCCTGATATTGACTGAGGTCATGCAATCATATTGATCAGGCACCTATTATCGACATTCATCAAGGAAGCTGAATTCCACACAATGTCAAATTGGGCCAGCATTAATAAATGAACCGTAGATTATCTCTCAGACCCAAAGTTCTTAACATTTATTCTAAATTTCAGAAGATTATAATGTTAAAACATGAAAAGTATTCATATATCAGCCATACTTTAAAGAAAGTACATGTATCTTCTTCACAATTATCTCTTCAGCACCAACAGAAGGCCTGGCACATGAAAGGCAGCCGATATTTTTAAAGTAAATATGAATAGAATGAGGGGTGAGATTATTTATAAAATAGCAAATAATCATTTGTATCTTTTACTCCACCTATTTATCTTGGAATTTAAGGTTTCTATTCTTTTCCTATATTAAATTAAAATAATATTATTAAACAGGTCTTCTAAACAGCTGTACTTTATAAGTTTCAGTTCAAAACAAAATATTTATAATGCATAATATTTGGAAAATTTACCAATTTATTCTATATTTTAAATTAAAATGTATTTAGCGTTCTTTTCTTCCTCTGAACAAAAACAGTGTTAATTCATTAGAAAATTAGTTAGATATATTTTCTCTCAGGTACTTGCTAACTTGTAAGCATGTGTTTACATATTGTTATCAGATCTAAGGAGGTTTCACTGAACCATATTCAACCAGAATTGTAATAAGGATTTTATTTTTATGTTGTGGCAACGAATCAGTATTTTGCCTCACTTCCTCAAACTTCCATCAGAAATATGAGGTGGAAAAAAACCACATGAACCCAAGATAATGTGATTCAGCTAGAAATAGAGAGACAACAAAATCTGTGATATTTAGTGTGATATCACCAAACCTGTATCTTAGCTGGAGAAAAACAAACAATGAATTTAGAGTATGTAATATTTTTTTTTATCTGTGCTCTTACTTTAAGATATCAATAAAACAATTGGTTAGTGTGTGGCTGTCTCTACCAAAAAAGTTGAACAAGCATTGATGGATACTCATTTACCAGTTCTCATAGGACAGGAGCCCAGGAAAGTAGGGGTAGAAAGTTATCAATCAGTATACACAGAGCTAAAGTCTCAGGTACTACCAGAAAGCAAAAAACTCTGAAAGTAATTAAGGAGCAGATTAGTCCTTGTATGAAAGAGAGAAATAATCTTCCTTAGCGTGTAATTGGAAAGTGGTCCCAGTCCTTATGGGAGAGTGTGAGGTTGTAGCATAGAAAGATTTAAGAAGGGATTTATTTGGTGCAAAGCTCTGCAGCTAAAGGCAGGATATGTGGGGAAAGACCAGAAGTAGCCTCTCAATGTCCTTGTTTATGGGATACTCTAAAATCAGATGTCTTCCTTGTGTACTACAAAGAAAGTCCAAACTAGCAGGGCCAGAGACTAAAATTTTGATTATAATTCTGTATTACTTTATCATGTCTGCCATAACAAAGTACTACAGACTAGATGGTTTAAAACAACAGAAATTGCATTCACTTACTAAAAGTCCAAAATCAAGATGCTAGAAAGGTTCTTTCCTTCTGGAGGTTCTGGAGTAGAACCTATTACATGCCTCTCTCTTCTGGTGGTTGCTAGAAATCCTTAGTGTGCCTTGGCTTGCAGTTACATCATTCCAGTATCTGCCTTCATCACTGTATGGCCTTGGTTCCTGTGTGTTTGTGTCCAAATTTTCCTCTTCTTATAAGGGTATGTGTCCCACTAGATTTAGGGCCCACCATTTAGGGCCCAACACAACATCATCTTACCTTGAGTACATCTACAGAGACCTTATTTCCAAATAGGGCACATTCACAGGTCCTGAGTAGACCTGAATTTTGAGGGAACACTATTCGAACCAGCACAAACCCACAGTAAGTAATATATTTTATCCATATCGATGTAACAAAAAAACTTGCAAAGTGATAGTTACCTTTGACCTGTACAATGAAGTCTAATATTTCCTAGTCTGTTAATTTTAATTTTTTAAACTTCTTCACGATCCACAAAATTGAGTCTATGATCCAAGAACACATGGCCATCACAGTCTGAAACACTAAGCTAGACCAGTCGTATCTGTTATTTTAAGATTTTAAATTGCTTGTAACATTGCACTAACCCATCAAGAGAAAGGGTGGCAAGGCAAAGAGAGGAAGGGAAAGATACCAGTCCTACCACATTTTTTTTGTGGATCTCCAGAAAAGAGAGGTATGGGTTCATTGGGTAGCCTAGAACACAGAGTCACTAGTGCTACCGCAATCAATAAAGAGTCCCACAGTTCTGTAGACAGGATTCTACAGGGACAGAGATAGGAATGCAAACTAGATAGTAAGACCATCTCATGGGTTAGCAAAGGTGACTCACTGAGAAAAAAGAAGAAGAAGGTTAAAGGAAGCAGTAAATATCTAGTTGCATTTATACTAAATTATGTTCTATATTATTTTAATTTTTAAAAGCTCTGATTAATAAAACTTAGAGTATATCTAACTGTTCTCTTATTTCCTTCATCTACAAAAGTTTCTAACCAAAAGAAGTGAAACACCCTTGAGAGGTAACCCTTCCTACAATTCCTTTGGCAAATGTGTTATTTGAAAAATCTCCAGGTGCCAAATTGAATAATTCTCAGTTAAAGTCCTTGATAGAGAATAAAGAACATAGGTGTCCTTTCCAAGTCATTTTTATGACTAGCCCCAAACCTTAACTATAAGCTAAGAGTTCATACCAATGATTAACCCAGGAACAAAACTCCTCTACAATATTAATTGATCTAATAAAATATTCTTCCTTAGGCTGCTTTTCATGCATTCATTTTATTATCAAGTAGGCAACCAGTCATAGGAGTTATAACTCTTTTTTTTTGTACTCACATGCTAGGATGAAGTAATAGATAGTATGATGAGCTAGTCCTTTATAGCACTGCTCCAGAGAAACTAAAAAAAAAAAAATAGTCATAATTTAAAACACAGAAATTATCAAGGTGAGAGTCTAATTTATGTTGTGCACCTGAATGTCTGAGGGATATAATCTGTCCGTCCAAACTTCATCCTCTGCATTTGGTTACCCATGGACTTGGCCTACATTGTATTTTTGTTTAAGGATACCTTGATAATTTGTTTAAATATGAAAGACTTGTCAGTTTAAACCCACAAAGCACTGGCCAAACCTAGTCTTAAACATAACATATTTATGCAAATGATAATAATTACTACACTTGAAAACTGATATCTATATAATTATATTGCTCTTTTCAAACTGGGTTAAAGCACTTTCTCCTGCTGTAAAGCATGTTTATTGCCATATCAGAAATATAAAGTTGTGATATATTTAATATATACTGTGCAAGAAAATCCCTTAGAGATTTAGGATGCTATCTGGAGAAAATACAGAGTGACTTTGTTTTCTTTCTCATTCCACAGCTTGTAATATCCTGAGGCAGAGCTCAGAGTATATACTACTAACCAGTTCTAATACACTAGATTCGTTTTTCCAACCTCCATCGCCCCTTCCAATGAGCAAAAGAGATTTATAATTAGTTAACTTTTGGTAAGCTCATGGCAACGTTATTTTTAAATTACATTTTCTAATAAATGCCTGGACTAAAGAATGGTTTGCTGCTCTACCTCTAAGCAAAGAACTAGATATTACTCTTAAAATATAGAGATAATCTCCTCCACCTTTCTTCAGAATCTTCATATCTGATCTGTCTGTGGTAATGATTCAACTTTAAATGTTTAGTTACTGATAACTACATGAACAGTTGTAATAAAAACAAAATTTATTAATTTGGTGAGACCTTCCCTGAAAACTCAGATTTATTTAAAACATAGCATGTATCTTAACGAAAGTGAAAACTATTCAGTCATCTGCTATGTGACATTGTAGATCAAGCAAACCAGGTATTAAATTCCAAAACCCATATGAATCTTCTTTGTTGTAGATCAACAGCTGTTTTTTCCCAAGAAGTTTAATTGATTTTGACCACAGGAAAAATAGTCAAATTAATTTTGACTGCAGATAATTTTTTGGATGGGAAGCAAATAAACTCACATAGACCCACCACAAATACATTTATATTCTATTTATGTCTCCATTATTTGCTACATTGATTTTTGAAAACATTCACTTAATCCCAAAGCCATACTCTGCCATGAAGAAGACATAATTATTTTCTTCCTCTACCATCATTATCTATGCACTTTTATTATCTTCTCATCCAATTCTTGAAATAATGTTTCTGCTCTCTATAAATTATCTTAATCATCATATGACTTAAGAAAAATCTATTATCTCATCCTGAAACTTAAAACAGATAAAATTTGAAGTGTTTGGCATTACATGTGTAATAAAAACACCATCTTATTGTTGCTCCTCTGCTCATTAGTCATATCAGAGTACCAAAAAAAAAAAATGTTTCCAATGCAAAAAATCAATTACTTGCTGTTTTAGAAAAACACTAGCAGAACAACGATAAACCAAGTTTCATCAATTCAAGTTTAACTTATGGGGCCAGACTAAATACTATCTAAACACTGACTCTATTTGCTAAAGAGAAATGCTGCCTAAACAATTTGACAGAACCAGCGCGTCAGCTGAATGTTAGGAGCAGCTACCCAAGGAGATAAAATAGAGTAGATATTCAAATTTTTTAGCCAAAAAATTTCTAGAAAACTTTTGCTTGAGACCTGAGAAAGAGCATCAAATGCTCACAATAATATTTAATCATGCAATCCAACTTGCTTTCACTATTTTTTTGTTTCAACCGTGCTTATTTCCAGCCAATAATGGGTAAGTGAATTCATTGGTCCTACAATAGTCTTCCCTACCCCTTCATCACAGGTGTGATTGCAGTTCTGAGGGAGAGAGAAATGCTGCATGTACTGTGTTTCCCCGAAAATAAAACCTACCCACAAAATAAGCCCTAGCAGGATTTCTAAGCATTTGCGCAATAGAAGCCCTACCCCAAAAATAAGACCTAGTGATGGGCGTGGCTATGCAGCCTATCTGCACAACCCATGCATTTCGTCACAGAGCGATAAAGAAGACTAGCAGCCATTCTCATCTGCCCCATGAGAGCTCTATTGCTCGACATGAGAGACTGGGGCCAATGGTTCTAAAGGATATAGAGTCACAAGAAATTCAGGATAGAGTTGGGAGTTTGGAGAGTTATGATGATGTTCCAGAAGAAGACGACTTAACTATATTTGAATAAATGTAGATTGTTGTACCGTACTTAAAAAAAAAAAAAAAAAAACACATCCCCTGAAAATAAGCCCTAAGGTATCTTCTTGAGGAAAAAAATATAAGACCCTGTCTTATTTTCAGGGAAACTTCGGGGAAACATGGTAGGTACTCCTTTTAGAGAAGGGATAAGAGATACTGTGGATCTGAAAGGTTTGTTGCTACTAGTATTTAATTTCTAGATACTTTGAAAAGTTTTCTTTTTAATTTTATTTCTGACCTCTTCTGTTTCATTTGGAAAAATGTATATACACCATAGCTAGAAATCCACATAGATGGAAGAATAAGGAGCAAATGAAATAGACTGTAAACGTTTCACTTTGGCACTCTGCCTACAAGTGGCTCTGTTCTCTTGAATTGGAAAAGAACAAACCAACTTTACCAAGTTTATCTAAGATATGATAAAACTCAGAAGCCAACAATGACATTTAGATTGTTGTGACTTTAGTTGTTTCAAACACCTTTAAATAGAAAGGTTTCGTAACCAGACACCAGGGGCAACTCCCACAGGACTCTGCATTTCTTTCATGCTTTCTGGAGAAGCCCATCCAGATGGAGGCTGCTCCATAACCAGAAAGATGGATTAATAATGATGTTGCTGTCAAACAAATCATCCATAACTCTTATAGTGCCTTACTACCTGTCTAAGCTATTTGCAGAGTGTTACGGTCTGAATGTTTGTGTCCTTTCAAAATTCCTATTGTATGTCGGAATTCTAACCCCCAAGGTGATGGTATTAGGTGGTGAGCCCATTGGGATGCAATGTCATGAGGGGAGAACATCATGAATGGTGTTAGTTCCTTTATAAAAGAGACCCCAGAAAGGTAGCTAGCCCCCTTCTGCCATATGAGGACACAGCAAGAAGGTGCCATTTATGAGAAAGTGGGCCCTCTCCAGTCACGGAATCTGCCAGCTCTTGATCTTGTAATTACCAGCCTCCAGAAGTCTGAGAATAGATTTATTAACCACCCGGTGTATGGTACTTTGTCATAGCCAGACTAGAATAAGACACACAGACCCTCTCTGTCCTGTATTACATAAAAATTATTCAAGTTTGGTCACTATTTTCTATAATTTGGGTGACTACCAGAAAACCACTTCAGAACCTGTGATTGAAGCCAACCATAATTATTATTACAATAAAAATAAAATAACTACCACTTATTAAGCACTTAAATATTCCAGGTATTTTGTTTAGTATTTTATGTTATCCAATTTAATACTCAAAATAACTATGTAAGGTGAGTGCTATTATCCCCGTTTTGCAGCTGAGAAAACCAAGGCATGAAGAGGCATCTTTCCCAATGTCACAAAGAAGAGCAGGGATCTTAATGAAAATCATCCAGTCCCAAATTCCATGTTTTTAAACATTATATTTAACTCCTCTTCCACTGCTAAGTGGCTTCATGGTAACTTATCCAGTTTGCCAAAACTGCTATGTTACATAAACCCTGACAACTTTGACAACCTTTTTGAGACTAAATAAACACTCAGTGTGTTTGGTCCAAATAAAATAAATAGAAATGAGGGCCTGTATCTATGAAAGCTGGAGTATTTTGCCTTTGGAGGGGCACAGTGGGGCCTTGTCAAAAATAAAAATTTAATTTATAAATGAAAGACAGTTTTATGCAGCAATTTGAATTCTTCAAATTCACTTTTATTTAATCAAATTTCACATCAAATTTGTAAAGCCAATTAATGGCTCTTTCCTTAGCTTTAGAAAAGTTCTGGCTCTAGACACAGTTCAAAAATATCTAGCATGCACATGTATTTCCTGATTAAGATTTTTTTTTAATTGAAATAAGGAGATGAGCACATCGGTTTTTGAAACCACTCTCTAAATTTGCTAACCTTTGAATTAAATTTTTCATCATCCTAATAAGAGCTCATACTACTTAACATTTCATAAAGCCTTAGAAAATTATTGAGATTAGTTTCATTAATAAGATGCACTAATTTAATTTCAAACTTTGCATCTGGTTTGGAAGAGACATTTGGAATTCTTCTTTCTTCTTACTTTTGAAATTTGTTACAGATGATAGGAATACAGGGTTTCAATTGCTCTAATTTGGAAACTAATTTTCTGAGACTAGAACACTTCCCCAGGTGAAGGGTATGGTGGATACCACAGCGTTTTTGTAAATAAATGGAAATTTCTAATATAAAATCATGTTTTTACTTTATTAATAGAATCGCAATATTTATTTCTCTAAAATAGCAAGAAACTCATTATAGCAGTAGTTAGCTAAACCTAATATCAATCAAGCTATTCAAATATCCTTATGTGCTGCCACCTTCTGATATCAACTAAAAATAAAGTGGTAACCCTAATTGCACACAAACTCCCAGGTATGCCATTTAGTTTTTATTTTATAACCACAGTCCTTTTTAAAGCATTAGCATATGCTTAATAAGTATTTGTGTAATTAAAAAATATTTTCACATTTATACCTATAAGTATAAATATATATGATTATAGAAATATCTATATGAATTAATGATAAATATTGATCTCTATAGATAGAGATATTACATATAAACATAAAAATACCAGAGGCAAACTTTTCCAGATATTCAGACCATATTGATTAATGGAGATAATTAAATATCGAAATCTAATTTTATTCTCAGCTCCTCTGGTTTACATGTGCAGGAGTTTTGCTCAGTTAAAATAAAGATAGAAAATTAAAGA